TACAGACAACCCCTCGTCAATATGCGTTTTCTGCATTGCATAGCTGCAAAAATCGGATAAAAAACCATTTCCCAAGCGAGTGGCTTCGTGGCGCACAAAAATTTGCCCGAAAGTGTAAAAGTTGACAGTAAAAAAGATAAAAGGAAAAGCTTCCACAAATTAATCGGAATATGTTTGCCAATCGAAGGACTTATTGATGTAAGCTTACTGGGTTAGGAAATTCGGTTGGCCAAGCATTTTCGTTGAAAACTGGTTCCATTCGATCCGAAAAAAGATGGATTAATCCTGGAAATTTCCATCAATAGTTGCAGAACGAAAATAAATCAATAACTGCGTGGCAAAAAATTAAATAGCAACGCGCACCAGACTAGTCGGTGCGGTCAGGCGTTTGTGCAATTCAGCCTACAGAACGATTGCGTATCAATGATTTTCACTGCTTTGTACTTCAGTCTATGCAAAAATAGTTCAAACATTGGAAAACAGTTAAAGATTTCATGCACCAGCGTATGAAAGTTGAATTCGAAACCTTGAAGGATGAATATCTTTCCGTGATTCCCCGCACCAGCGTATGAAAGCTGAATTCGAAACCTTGAAGGATGAATATCTTCCCGTGATTCCCGACACGCATCAACGCATAAAAGCTTAATTCGAAACCTTGAAGAGTGAACACCTTTATCCCGGGTTAACAGTTTACCCGCCAAAATTTTCAGAAGGCCGCAGGTGATACTCAAGAGTGCGGAACGCTGGAATAGGCAAGGTTGAGCGTGGGCAGGCGGTCATTACCCTAAAATTTCAACCTCCTAGACTCCGTGGTCCCCGAGATATTAATTTACCCGTAAAAAACTTTCACGGGCCATACGTGTTACCGCGGGTACGGGGAAGCTGAATTTAAATTTGCGGGGCCACATCTGGGTAGGGAACGTTTCTCTAAATTTTCAGCTTCCTGGCTTTTGTGGTTCCCGAGTTGAAAGTTGCGGACAAGTTGCTGCGGACACACACACACACAAATACACACACAGACAACCCGATGATAATATGCGTTTGTACTGCTATTAAACAGCACAAAACGCATAAAAAATTAAATAAAAAAAGAAATTCCCCCCTTTTTTTAATTTTTTCGTAGTTTTACTGAACTAGATTATTTTAAATACACATGGAAAACTAGAAACGGTTAAAGCTTCGTCAAATGCTTCTGTTTTGAGAATCGCTAGTGATTTCATCAAAATACGAATGAACGTTGGTCACTAGGCTGACAATCAGAAGGTGTGACGCAACATCACTCAGAGCAAAACAAGTTACCAGCTACGCCGCTGCAGAAGCAGACTAGAAATCCAAAACCATAAATATGGAACTGCAGAAGCTTGTACGAGACACGAGTATAAACTGAGTAAAAAAACAAAGCGAAAGTTTAAAATAAGGACCTGTTTGGTCACCAAATGCAATGCATCGTTTTGAAACTGAGATATCAAGACATGTTATTGCGAAGCCATTCGTATCCAGCTGGATCGGTATCTGGCTCGACTGCTCATTCAAATTCATCACTATGAATTCACCTGCCTACAAAACAAGGCGTTTACATTACAGCTCAGAGAGACTGTGACCGACATGTGGGAGTATCTTAGTAACACCACTGGTTGGCTCGCACCTGCCTATTCGTGTAGTCCTGGTCTGTCTGCCTAATTGATTCCATGGAAGCTGCAAAGATAAAACTTTAACAAAATAATTCCAGGACAAGTTCAGATATTTCGAGGTTTTCCCACGTCTTTGGAATAACGAGCAGAGAGGAAGAAGAGAAAATATTTGTCGAAAAAGATAAAAATTTAACCAAATGTGTGTGAAACATCAGGCGGCTAATTTGAATAAATAGCACCGCGCATCAGAATAGCCGGTGCGATCATGCGTTTTGTGCAATTCAGCCCATCGAACGATTGCCTATTAGTGAT